CAGTTGCTGATGACTCATGGAGTGCTGGAGGAATGGGATGTTAAGCGCTTGCAGAAGCACTGCTATAAGGTCCATGACTGTAAGTATCATTTCCCTGTTCCCAGGATGCTCTGGTACTGTGTGATCAGGGACTAGTGACATTGGTATAATGCCATAACCAGTCAACCATACCCCTGACCTGCGCATTCAAGTCTCTCATAATCTCCCATCAGCCCATCTTTCTCGTGTCATGTTTGACTTTCTTTTTTAAGTAAATCTTACATTTAGCACAATGTTAGGTAAGACTTAGCCTCTGAAGCAGTAGAGTTGTGGTTCACACCAAGGCTCCAGCATCTCCTACAGCCAGAGTTCCTTTACCACTAAAATAGGGAGAATTAATCATACTTGACACATACTGTGGCTCAGAGGGTTAAGAGACATGATACATACAAAGTACCTGGCACAGGGAAAGTGCTCAGTTGGCTGTTGGCAGAGGGCAACAGTCAGAGGGCAGCTTAGGATAATGGTTAAGGGCACAGCCTGGAACTCGGGCGTTCCTGGAGAAAGTGCCTTTCCTGTCCTGTGCTAGCTGTAGGCATTTGGAATATCTTCCCAGTGGGTTGTCGGGAGGGGTAAATAAGATAATACACGTGAAGCACTTAGAGGCAGGACCTGGTGCATGCTAAGTTTTCAGCAACTAGAGGTAGCAGTAAAGCAGTGGGATCAATGTAGGTCTTGTTGAGTGTCAGTATGGGTAGATCTTATTGAGTGAAAACGAAAATTTATAAATTACACTTGTATGATGTTATTGTGTGAAGTTTTTGGTAAAACTTAATGAGTGGACTGGAAGGGTACGCAGCACACTCATCAGGTGGTTGCCTTTGGGGAGAGGAGGAGAGGATAGGTTTGTCGCCAGAAACCAAAGGACACTTCATTTTTATCCTGTTTTGTTCTTTTATTGATGATAAAAGACTTGAGGCAAACATGGCATTATTAGTTTAGTCTAATGGTTATCACTTCTGATGAATGGGATTTTAGGTTTTCTATTCTCTGTTTTTCTTTTTTATCTATTTAAAAAAAAATTTTTAAATCCTCACCTAAGGACATTTTATTTTATTTATTTTAATAAAATACGTTAAAAAAAATTTTCCCCCTGTATTGATTTTAGAGATAAAGGAAGGGAGAGGGAGAGAGAAATAGAAACATCAATGAGAGAGAACATCGATTGGCCACCTCCTGCATCCCCCGCCCCCCGGGGATTTGGCCCACAACCTGGGCATGTACCCTGACTGGGAATCGAACTGGTGACTTATGATTTGAGAAAGAAAGAGAGAGACAGAGACAGAGACAGACATTGATATAAGAGAGAAACTCCCATACGTGCCCTAACCAGAGATCGAACCTGCAAGCTGGGATCAAACCCACAACCAGGGTATGTGCCCTGACCAGGAATCAAACCCGCCACCTTCTGGTATAAGACATGGCACTCCAGCCAACTGAACCACACTGGTCAGGGCCTCTCTATAGTTTAATTTTCAAAAGGAGAGTGGGAAAAGGAGGTGAGCCAAGCTAAGAGGGGCGAGGAAAGGTATGGCGGAGGCTCAGAGTAACGAGGTGAAGGGATGCGAGGAGTGGTGTCACATAGGGAGAGCTGCAGCCTGCAGCATGATGGAGACAAAAACAGGTACCGAAGGGTGGAGGGTGTGTGCATCGGAAGGGAGAGAGTGAGTACATATCAGGTCCTTTCATGATGTGCAGAAGGAAGATGGAGAGCGTGTCATATTAGAGAAGAGGCAGAGCTTGAGCCACTGGTCCATTGAAGTGTTCTGTGGGGAATTCTGGAAGCTTTGGTGCTGTCCATAAATAAAGGTTTGACAAGTTATACAGTAAGGAAACCTGTTTACCTTTGTTAATCTTGTGTATCCAAACTTGATTGACCTACAAATAACATACTTTGGGTAATCCTAGATAAGACTATATAATGTGTGGGAAGAGAATAAGATTTTTGGTGTGTACGTTCACAGATCTGGAAGAACCCATAGGACATATACAGTAGTAGTGTCTTTTTCTTTTAATCCTTACCTGAGGGTATGTTTTTATTGCTTTTTTATTTATTTATTTATTTTTTGTTTTTTGTTTTTTTTTTATCCTCACCCAAGGATATTTTTCCATTTTTTGTACAGATAGAGTGGGAGGGAGAGAGAGGAAGGGAGAGAGAGTGCGAAACATCGACGTGAAGGGACACATCGAGTGGCTGCCACCCGCACGACCAACCAGGGCCGGGGACAAACTGCAACCGAAGTACGTGCCCTTGGCGGGAACCGAACCCGGGTCTCTCAGGACCGCAGGCTGACGCTCTAACCGCTGAGCCAAAGTGGCCAGGGCTTTATTGCTTTTTTAGAGAGAGAAAAAAACAGAGAGACATTGATTGGTTGCCTCCTGTACAAGTCCCTACTGGGGACTGAACCCGCATTTGGTGTACTGGACAATGCTCCAACCAGCTGAGCCACCTGGCCAAGAATACCACAGTAGTGGTTTTTATCCCCTCTTAATTCTGTAGACAGTGCAAACCTCCAGAAGGATTTGAAGCAGGAAGTGGCATAATTAGTGCTGTGTTGGGAACTCTCATTTTGGTGAGAACATACCTGCTCTAATTGCCTGCACTTGGTGGATGGGGTCTTTGGAGAGAGCCTCCTTCATGGAAAGGGATTATTATGCCTGTCAAGCTAGCTTTTCTTGCTTTTTAAAAGCACAACAGGGCTTTAAACCTACCCCTCAATATTCTTCAGTGACGGGCATAGGAGGCTTTTCTCGTATCTATATAACAATTCATTCCTTCTCCCATTAGTATCTTACATATGTCAAACCCACAAAATAGTATCTTACTATTTTGGGGAAGTTTCATGGCTCACTGCAGAGAGCCATATAGTGCCTTAGTACTAAGATTGAAAGTGTTTTTGTCTTTATTTGACCTTTAAAGCTGTTATGATGTAATACAGGAAAGTCCTGTAGAATGTGTCTGGGAATAAATTTATTTTCACACTTTATATACCATTTCTGCACATTGAGATATGGTTATGGCTGGGTCATCAGGCTAGAACTACAGTTGTTTTCTCCTATACTTCATTTAAAAGAAAGGTTGTTCACAAGCATTCTTCTTCTTCTTTTTTTTTTTATCCTCACCCAAGGAGTTTTTCCATTTTTGTTCAGATAGAGTGGGAGGGAGAGAGAGACAGAGAGAAACATTGACGTGAATGAAACACATCAAGTGGCTGCCTCCTGCATGACCCCAACCAGGGCTGAGGACGAATTGCAACGGAGTTATGTGCCCTTGACTGGAATCGAACCTGCGACTGATTGGTCCGCAGGCTGATGCTCTAACTGCTGAGCCATACCGGCCAGAGCACAAACATTATTCTTACTTGAGAGATTTTAAACTAGGAATGTTGGAAAGAAAAGATCTAAAATTAACTAAATAGTTATAAAACCCAGTATTATCAACCCCTTATCTTTTGAAGAGATGCCTTTGACCAACTAGAAATAATTTAGTTTCTAAGAGAATTAAAAACAAAGGAGTAATTGAAACTGCAAGTTACTCTGATTGCAGTTTCCCATGGGGTTTGTCCAGTTTATCAAAACACTTCCTGTTCTGGGCTTTATCTGGGGCTCTCTTCTTACTGTCACGAGGGGAAAACGAATTATCCAAATCTCCCAGCTAGTGAAGAATTTGGACTTTGTTCTGATGTCCTGGTGGAAAGCCTTGGGTTTGGCTTTTCTAAATGGCACTGGGACCTGTGTTCTTAGTGCCCCTTAGATTCTGTGCCAGGGCTTGTGTACATGTATGTGGTTGTCCAGCACAGCTTCCTGAGAATCTCACAGGCATCAGGCCTCTGTGCTAGGGACTGCTAGCTCAGAGACAAAGCTTTTGCTTCATCTTGTGGGTCCTACAGATACAGAATCAGATGATTCTAGTAGATGCCCCCTGATGGAGATAGGTACAGGAGACCTAGGGAGTGGTGGTTAAAAAGACTTGGATTTGAGGATTTCCACTTTGGACTGAGATAGAGTAACAGGGACCAATTTACTTTCTGTCTGAAATAATTAAATAATGGACAGAATATATGAAACACTGGACATTAGTCAATGAAGGACAGTGATCTTTTGACAGACAGGCAATGGAGGTCTTTTTCCCTCTTTTTTTTTTCTTTTAATTTTCACCTGAGTATATGTTTTTTATTGATTTTGGAGAGAGAGGAAGGGAGAGAGGGAGAGAGAAACATTGATGTGAGAAAGAAACATTGATTGGTTGCTTCCCATTTGTGTCCCAACCAGGGATCAAACCCGAAACCTAGGTATGTGCCCTGACCAGGGATTGAACCCGCAACCTAGGTACGTATTCTGACTGAGACTTGAACCTGCAACCTAGTTATGTGCCCTGACCAGGAATTGAACCTGTGACCTTTTGGTGCATGGAATGACGCACCAACCCACTGAACCACTGGGCCAGCGCAGTTTTTTCCCTCTTAACACCAAATACATCTTGTTTCTTCTAACACCACTTCTTCAGTTCCCTGGACACCAGCTGAATGCTCAATAACTTAATTCACATAAAATTGAATACCATCTACCTGGCACTAGTATCAGATCCCACAAGTTAAAGGGGCTCAGCCCCACAAAACTACCCCCATTTCAGATGCCAGTCACAAGTTCCAGGCCACCAATACTTTTCCTATGATACTCTCATCAGGTCCAAGAATTTGCTAGAATGGCTCACAGATACCAGGAAAACACTCTACTTACATCTGCTGGCCGGATGTAGCAGATGTTCCCTACAGTAAACTAGAGACCCTAAGGAGTAGGGCATAAGCAAAGTAAACAGAACCGTTGGACTTGGAGTGAGAGACAGTCAAAAACTATCTGCACAGAGTTTAAAAGCCAACAGATATTTCTGATAAAAACCCTTAGCAAAGTAGGACAAGAAGGGAACTTCCTTAAATTGATAAAGGGGATCTATGTAAACATCACACTTAATTGTGAAAGACTTGATACTTTCCCCTTAATAGTAGATGCAATACAAGAACTTCCAGTCTCATCATTTCTCTTCTAACCAGTACACTTAGGCAAGAACCAAATAAGAGGCATCCAAACTGGAAAGGAAGAAGTAGAACTTTCTATTCACAGACATGATCTTCTATGTAGACAGTCTGATGGAATCCTCCCCAAAGCTACCAGAATTGGGAGGTGAGTTTAATAAATTTGCAGATACAACATCCCACTTCTACCCACTAGTTTTAGCATTTGTTGGTATTCTGTAAATTCACTCATTCTTTGTTGGTTGCCAACTTGCTATAAGGTACTATTCTGTACTGTAGCACCAACATTTTGTAATTCATTATGCTGTGCTGTTTTGTCTTATTTTAACTTTTAGTGGGTTTTTAAATTGTCTATTGTCTTAAGGACAATTAAGTAAAATATTTAAAAATTTAGATTAAAAAATTAAGATTTGACCTTATTTCAGTGAGCAGAATAAATAATGTGTTCAGGCAAAAAATAGTTAAGTACATGCACCAAGAATAGAATAGTGAACACAGTATGAGAACACTGGGGCTTGATAGATATTTTCCGTTTTGTCAGACTTTTATCTGCCTCCATCCTAGCTTTGTTTTTCTCACGCTGACTTAAGAGACTATTTGCTTTGTTGTCTTGGTGAGTACATCAGGACTCTCACACACTAGTCGGCTGCATGCATGTTGAGTCACAGTGATACTGTTGACATCTTGGGTTAGTGTTCTATCTTGTATCTGTAGTTGTATTTGTAAGTACCTTCTTCTTCCAAGGAGGACTCGGTGATAATTAGAAGCTGGCTCCAAATAATTTTTCTCCTACTTTTAATGATTTCAATGTACATTTCTCCTCTTTGGCCATAATGAACAGTTAATAAACTTACCACTGTCAGGGCCTGCTTGCCTTCTCAGTTAATCAAGGGAGATTAAGTCTGTGATCATAACTGAAAAGTGGCATTAAAATTAGCATGAAAAATAACATCTAAAATGTAACTTGGGTGGACGTGTGGTGAAGATGGTGGCGTAGGTAAACACGGTACTCACCTCCTCCCACAACCACATCAAAATTACAACTAAACGATGGAATAACCATCATTCAGAACTGCCTGAAATCAAGATGAATTGAAGTCCTACAACTATGAAATTAAAGAAGCAGACATATTGAGAGTGGTAGGAGGGGCGGAGGTGCAGACAGGCTGGTTCCACACCCACGTGTGGCGGATAAAAATCAGGAGGGATACCCTGGCTGTGAAAATCCTCCCTGAGGAGAGAGGGGTCCTGGTTTCACACCAGGCTCTCCCTGCTCAGGGTTCCAGTGCCAGGAAGAGAAGTCCCCAAAACTTCTGGCTATAAAAACCAGCGGGAGCTGAGGCTGAGGGAGGCTGAGGCTGCTGGAGCCCTAGGCAGCTCCTTTTAAAGGGCCCTTGCATGGACTTACTCGGACTTGCACCCTCTAGGCTCCAGCACAGAGGGAAGGCAACTTGAAAGGCATCAGAGACACCTGGAGAAGAACTGAGTTGTTTGGCATTGCGGTGAGAGCTGGAGGGGCAGCCTTCTCCCAGACACACGTGCTGGTGGAGCCCATTATTTCCCCACAGGGCTGGCAGACTGGTGCCATATCTGGGACTTCAGCAACCTGGCTCACACTGTTTGCTCTGCCCTGGTGATTCCCTGAGGCCCTGCCTTACTCAGCTTTTGGGCCCACTCAAGCTGTTTCCAGTGGCTTTACCATAGGAATGGACTGTCTTGGCTTCTGTTTCTGAATTTCCTAAATTCTCTCAGAAAATGCAGCATCTGGCCTCAGCAAGCCCCATACCTCTCACTAAGTGGTCCCAGGCCCAGCACTAGGAGCAGCCAGCTTTTGTTCACAAGTTGGCTTTACCTGGACACCTCCAAACCTAGCACAAGAAGTAGCCATCTGAAGATAGCTTTGTAGATTATGCCTGGAGGCCCCAGGTGGAACACAGGCAGTGGCTGACCTTGCCCCAGAGCCAGCACACCCAGTGGACAGCTTCAGACCATGATGAAGCACCACCACCCAACCACCTCCACAAACAACACACTCAAGGAATGGACTCAGTGGGTACCAGAGCCCTGCTGAAGTAAGTCTTGCTCTGTATGGCGGGCCCCTGCACAGCTGATTATCCAAGGTAGTCAGAGGTCAGTGGTCAGTGGGCCCAGCCAGTCCTTGCAGCTGATCAGCCTGAGTAAATTTCTCCCATTGATGTGCTAACAGCACTCAAGACTCAATTACAACAGAAGGGTATACAGTCTACACTAGGGGTACACCTTGAGGGCACAGTTGGGGTGATTGGGGAGTCTGTGCCACTGGACCCTACAGGACACCTACTACAATAGGCCATCCTTCCAAGCCTAGGAGACATCGCAGCTCTACTTAATACATAAAAACAAACACAGGGAGGCAGCCAAAATGAGGAGACCAAGAAACATGTCCCAACTGAAAGAACAGAATAAAACTCCAGGAAAAGAACTAAATGAAATGGAGATAAGCAATCTAACAGATGCAGAGTTCAAAACACTGGTTATAAGGATGCTCAGTGAACTTAGTGAGGGCCTCAAGAGCATAAAAAAGGATCAGTCAGAAATGAAGGAGGCACTAACTGAAGTAAAGAATAATTTACAGTGAATCAGTAGTAGAGTAGGCAAAGCCAAGAAGCAAACCATCGATTTGGAATATAAGGAAGCAGAAAACACCCAGTCAGAACAGCAAGAAGAAAAAAGCAATCCAAAAAAATGAGGATAGTGTAAGGACCCTCTGGGACAACTTCAAGTGTAGCAACATTCGCATCATGGGGGAGCCGGAAGGAGAAGAGAGAGCAAGAAATTGAAAACCTATTTGAAAAAATAATGACAGAAAAATTCTCTAACTTGGTGAAGGAAACAGACAAGTCCAGGAAGCACAGAGAGTCCCAAACAAGATGAACCCGAAGAGGCCCACACCAAGACACATCATAATCAAAATGCAAAAGGTTCAAGACAGAATCTTTTTTATTTTTTTATTTTTTTAAGAGAGGAAGGGAGAGGGAGATAGAAACATTGATGAGAGAGAACACTGATTGGCCGCCTCCTGTATGCCCCCCATTGAGTGTTCCGCCTACAACCTGAGCATGTGCCCTGACCAGGAATCAAACCGGCGACCGATGGACACATAAAGAATTTCCCAGACAAGAAAAAGCTAAAGGAGTTCATCATCACCAAACCAGTATTATATGAAATGTTGAAGGGTCTTCTTGAAGAAAAAGAAGATAAAAAATATGAACAATAAAATGGCAATAAATAGGTATCTATCAACAATTGAATCTACAAACCAAATGAACAAGTAGTACAGAAACAGACTCATAGATACAGATAACTTTTTGTTGGTTGCCAGATGGGAGGGGGGTTGGAATGGGTGAAAAAGGTGAAGGTATTAAGAGGTACAAATTGGTTGTTTGACTGACAGACCTTAAAGGGAGGGGGCGGGGCAGGAAAAGATAAACCAAAGAACTTAATGCATATATGTATCACCAGTGGACACAGATAATAGTGTGGGGAAGGCGGGAGGGTGGCAGGAGTGGGGAGGAGGGGGTCAATAGGGGAAAAAGAAGGGACATCTGTAGTACATTCAATAATAAAGATAAGTTTAAAAAATAAAATGTAACTTGGATCTTTCAACATAGGAAATTTCACAACAGGCAGTTGATACGAGCTTAGGCCGGAATCTTTGGGTTTAGGAAGCTCTGCAGCCACGATGAAGTGAATGTTGCTGCTTTCATGTGTCTGCTTGTGAAGGACTAGATGTGTCCCAGCTCCCACCTGCTCTTGATGACTTTGTGCTGCAGGAACCCAGGGTGTGCTGATCATCCCAAACAGGGAGGTTATGTGTCGTTAGGTGGGAGGACTAAGGATGAATTCTTTAGTAGGAAGGAGCTGGCAGGAAGAGTGAAGTCAGCTTTTTTTTTAATTTTTAATTTTATTTTTGTTACAGATGTTTCTCCTTTTTTACCCCATTGACATCCTCCTTCTCATCCCCCCCCCCCACTCCATCCCCGGCTTTGTTGTCCATGTCCATTAGTTATATGTACATGCATATAAGTTCTGTGGTTTATTTCTTCCCTCCCCCCACCACCCCCTTTTCTGAATGTTGTCAGTCTGTACCCTACTTCCATGTCTCTGGGTCTACCCTATTCCTTGGACTGTTATGTTCATTATATTCCACAAATAAGTGAGATCATGTGGTATTTGTCTTTTTCTGCTTGGCTTGTTTTACTTAGGATAATACTTTCCAGGTCCCTCTATGTTGTCTCAGAGGATGAGATCTTTCTTACAGCTGCATAGTACTCCTTTGTGTATATGTACCACTGCTTTTTTATCCACTCGTCTACTGATGGACACTTGGGCTGTTTCCAGATCTTAGCTATTGTAAATAGTGCTGCTATGAACATGGGGGTACATACATTCTTTCTGATTGGTGTTTCAGGCTTCTTAGGGTATATTCCTAGAAGTGGGATGACTGGGTCAAATGGAAGTTCAATTTTTAATTTTTTGAGGTAACACCATATTGTTTTCATAGTGACTGCACCAGTCTGCATTCCCACTAGCAGTGTACTAGAGTCCCCTTTTCTCCACACCCTCGTTGTTTGATGATTTGTTGATGCGGCCATTCTGACAGGTGTGAGGTGATAGCTCGTTGTTTTAATTTGCATCTCTCTGATGATTAGTGATGTTGAGCATTTCTTCATATGACTCTTGGCCATTTCTATGTCCTGTTTGGAGAGGTGTCTATTTAGTTCCTCTGACCATTTTTTAATTGGGTTCTTTGTCTTCCTTAGGTTGAGTTGTATGAGCACTCTATATATTTTGGAAATTATCCCCTTATCTGATGTATCATTGGCAATGATGCTCTCCCATACAGTGGCTTGCCTTTCTATTTTGATAGTTGTTTCTCTTGCTGTGCAGAAGCTTTTGAGTTTGATATAGTCCATTGTGTTCATTTTCTCCTTTGTTTCTGTTGCCTTAGGTGATGTATCAGTGAAGATTCTGCTGCGTATGATGTCTGAATTTTGTTGCCTACAGTTTCTTCTAGGATTTTTATGGATTCATGAGTCCCATTTAAGTCTTTTATCCATCTTGAGTTTATTCTTGTGTATGGTGTAAGTTGATGGTCTAGTTTCATTT